AAATGCTAAATTAACTGATCTCACAATTCTTATATTTTATTACATTTTCCTGCTTGTCTAATGTTGGAGGTGGTGATGGGCTAATGGATGAAGTTTGGGTAGCAAAGAGAAGGGGGAACGAAAGTAGTAAATTTGAAAATAAATAGAGAAGCTTACACTTATAAATATATAAAAGTGTAATTTTTCCCAGGGAGGTGAATGAATTGTATTGCTTTTTGCATTGTGGAAAGAAGAAAACGTAGACCAAGGGAACATACATGTAATGGCAAAGGAAAGGATAACGATGATGATAGTTTTCATTCATTGCTATTTATTGCATGCAAGCCCACAATAAATGCTTTACATGTGTCATCTCATGTATTCCTTGAAATAGCCCAGAGAGGTTGGGGTCATTATGCAAACTTGACAGATGAAAAATGAGGCCTAATGAGGGTAACTTGCCAAGATCACATAGGTAATTGGCAGATCCAGAAATCAAACTTTAGTACCTGAATCCCAAGCCCATAATCTCTCCCCACATAAAACTCAAAAGACCAAGTATTTTCAAATAAACTCTTCACTGGATGTATAATTTTTCCTATACAACCACATTGCAAGTTCTTGAGATGCCTAGTAATAAAAATATAATTTTCCCATACATTTCTTATTGTACAGAAAATATTCCAGGAGATGTGTGGACCCTGAGGGCAGTACCTGACTAGTAAAAATTACTTCACAACTTCATGAGTTTGTTTCCATTTCTTACTAGCATACATGGATTAAAAAGTATTTTAAAAATTTAATGCACTTAAAAATGAAATTCCTAAAGTGTAGAAAGGAAAGGAGTAAAACAAGAAAATTTGATGGAGCATGATTTATAGTATTATATGTATATAATTCTATATATTATATACTGTATATATATGATTATTCCCTGTTCTAATTTATTTTTTATATTTACTTATGTAATTTAGTTATGATAAATTAATAAATATATTCAGAGTCATTTACCATTTGATTTTGTCCTAGACAAAATCTTCCTTAATTATTTTTCACAGAGTGGCTAATTTCAGTACAAAAGATCATCTTTTTAAAAGACAACAAACATGTATAAAGTAGTAAACCATCAATGAGTCCTTCATGTCTATTCAAGGGTGAACAAAGTATATTATTTGCATGTCTTTGTTACGTAGACCAGAGTACCAGGGCAATAGTTTGAGATACATCAATATGCAACAGAGTCAGCTCTCTATGTGAGAGGCTTGATGTAATTCAACTGCAAGTCTAGCCCATGACCAAAAAACATATTCTAAAAAACAAGATGCTAAAGCAATCAGCAATGAAAACTTCTTCAGCTACCATAAATTAATTCAGGGCTCATTTAGAGATATGCCAAAGTTTTGCTTTGGTTTCTAATGTCACATTGATAACAATGAGTAAAGGACTGATTTGATCTCTTCATTTGTGAATATAAAAGAAGAGARGTGATACAAATGAAGCTCACACTATTATTTATTTATTTATGGTACCAAAGATTGAATGCAGGGACACTTAAGCACTGAGCCATATCCCCAGCCCTATTTATATATTTATTATTTTGAAGTTCATAATATTATGAAGAGGTTGAGCATGGCTTTGATTGAGAGCATGAGGGAGTGCCCCTTTTATGCTTGCCTGTAATTTATTGATTGATTGCTCAATATTGAGCACTGTCTTTGGTGTAGTGCTTACAAAGATAATAGATACATTCCACCTTTACTAAGGAGACCATGGCTTTGTGAGGAAGGCAGAATCAACTCAGTGTTGAGCACCAGGTAGGCTCTCAATAAATATCTGTTGAATGGATGTTAGTTATGTATGTGATCAATAATAAAAATATGCAGAGTAAAGTGAATGGAAGTGGTACTTGGGTCTTGGCTTCAGGTCTGGAAGATCATGCTCTACAAGAGCTTGACCCTTGAGCCACATCTCAGAGGAATGGAATGAACAAGAATGATTAGGAAGAAGCAGGAAGGGGATTTAGAACTGCACATGCAAAGGCAGGATGGCAAGTAGAGCATGGTGATGCAGGGAATGGGATTTTAGGTTATGTGGCATTTTGTTAAAACAGTATAAAGATTAGTAAGAGAGATATTGTGAAAACCGTATTTGCTCCCTGAGAAGTTCAAGTATTCTTACATCAATAAGGGTGTGGGGGGGTTCAAATAGCATTGGTGTGGGAAAAAAAAAGAATAATATTTACTATAGGGGTGGTACTAGGCAATGAAATTAAACAAAGTATATTATTTGCATGTCTGAATATGTAACAGTGAATTGTACTATTATGTATAATTATAATGTACCAACAAAATGAAAAGATACAGTTAAAGTATTTACATAATATTTATATTTATATAATATTTATATAAATATTTATATAAAATATTTATATAATATTCTTTACATAGATTGGTTCATTTAATACTTACATATCCCTCTGAGATGGGAATTACTATTAGCCCATATTTGAAGTGCAATATAATGAAATTAAGAACTTAAAATAGTTACATATAATAAGTGGCAGAACTGGGGATTTGAACCCCACAATCTGATTCCAGAACTCATACTCCTAATCATATATTTCCCCTAAATTCCATGTCAAATTTAGTGTAACTTAATGCTACAAATGATATGTAAAGTAGCAAAGTTGGGAGTTATATTTTTGTGATAATGTAGCCCTTTGTGCACTTGCTTTCCAATAGGCTTTCTTGAACTGGAGAAAAGAGTTATAGAGACATCTGTTCCACTAGAAATTTTGTAGAACCCAGAGTACATTCATGGGAGTGTGTTACACAAGTGACTTTCTTCCATCTTGAGTATCATTGTGGCACAATGATTAGAAACTGCTRTTGTAGGAGATGAGAATCATTTGGTCAAGGAGGTGACAACGTTGGGAATTCTACTTAGAGAAAATTAAATACCATTTTATTCAGTAGAGAATGTGACATTCAAAATTTTCAAAGTGATATATAAATGTCAGGAATTGATGATAGTGTGAAATTCATAATGTGTGTTTTTCTAGTCAGATCTTCACCATTGGAAATTCAATAATTTTTTGTTGAGGCATCACTTAAAGATGCCTCTGTTCTTTTTATCTACATGCACTGGTGTTTACTGAATCTAAATCTAAATATTTACTGAATCAAAATATTTAATTATCTCATGCATTAGTTTAAACACTTCATAAGAATTGATTCTTTTAATTCTCACAACATTTCTAAGAGAAAAGTGCTATTACTCCCACTTTGTAGATGAAGAAACTTAGGATTTAAGAGGTTAACCACCTCAATGTCACACTAGAAGTTGGTAAAGGTGTTGGTTAAGAAAAGCAAATGGGTTTCCACTTGAGTATCTAGAAGTGGTAAGAWGATACTGGTTGATTAGAGAGCTCCTGCTTCCCCCCTAATTCCTCAGTCTTCCATTAATTCATAAAGTCAATTCCTCCATGAATTAATAAAAAGAATGATGATGTGCATGGGTACTGTTCTCCAGCAACTTCAAAAATATATTATATTCATTGTTAAGTTCCTACTATAAATGAAAAAAGAGACATACACAGATTGTGAATGTAAGTGGGGAATGGAGTTAGCCCTCAGATCAGTGACCTTTCCTCTAGGCTGTGCTACCTCTTGTTGGCTCAGCAGTATTTAAGAATATCAGGGATCTGTGGTTTCATTAGAGACTTCATCTTCTAATTTTAGAAAAAAATCAAGAAAACAGATATTAAACATTTTCATTAAATATTCTAATTGCTGTTGTGATGGTAATTATTTGCAAAGTTACAATCTTTTTTGATAATTTTACCTATTTAGCCTGATAAATGTTTCAGAATTTTGTAATTATTGATCATTAGGTAAACAACTGTACATATAAAATAAACTCATTATCAGATGGAAATATATAAGTTGGTGTATTTAGAATAATATATGATTTTGGAGAATATAATATGAAAAAGAGATAGCAAGGAGAACAAAGTTTCTTTCTAGAACAAAAGAGAAATTAAATCCAATATCTTCAAAGGAGAAATTCAGGGAAGGGAGCCTATAGAGAGAAGATAGGCAGCAAGAAAAAGGATGGGTGTCGGGTGAATTTGTTGAGATAGGAAAGAATAATTCATGAAGATGAAGGGGTCTAAAGGCTGTTAAAGGAACAGAAAGTCTGTGTAGAGTGAGGCTGGATGGAGCAAGACAACACTGGGGTGGTGATCCCTTTCCACTCAGACACCTGTAATTATAGAAGAGTCAATAAGATGGAAAGTAAAAGTGAGCCGAAGCTATTAAGAGGAAAGATGAAAGCTTCAGAGAGAAATGGAGTTTAGGAAAGACTGCATTTTTTGCATCCTGTGCTGCTCTAATACTGTCACACTCATCCCTGTGAATCAAGGGATTTTTATGATCTGAGCAGAGATGGAATTTCCCACGGCTTGCTGCCTCACCCATTGAGAAGTTCCCAGTAGCAGCCCATGCTGATATTCTCTTGGGCAGAGGTAGCAGAGGCAGAGGAATTAGAAAGGGCAAYAGCTTGTGTGTGGATTTGAAGTTGAGATGAAATCAAACTCCAAGGATTCTGGCTGGAATCTCCTCCTGCCAATTTGGAATTGCTGTTTGTAGTTCGTATTGTACAATAGCTGTCATGCTTCAAGACATTTACATTTTTCTCTATTAACTACTGTTCTGTGTAGCAAGCAATGAATATTCAGTCTATCATCTTATATTTATTTAGCTGCTCTGTACATTGCCTAACTTGGATGCTCATCATTTACTTTCTAATGTGCATAATAAAGCACATCTGATTCCTATTCATACATCTGGCTTATTTTCATTTAAAAGATATTATTGCTATCAAGAATGACCTTGTATGGATTACAATCTTCGTATCACTTAAAACGCATAATATATTTTATCTACCATTCTTCTTTAGAGAAAATATAATCCCAATGGACTATATTATTTAAACTTTATTAACACTGTTTTCTAAACGTTTATAGGCAGTGCTGGTACGCCTGTCACTTTTAATGAAAACGGAGATGCTCCCGGACGTTATGATATCTTCCAGTATCAAATAACCAACAAAAGTACAGAGTAYAAAGTCATCGGGCACTGGACCAATCAGCTTCATCTAAAAGCAAGTATCAATGTAAACGTGCATTAATACATATGGTTCTCAATGAGGGATGCTTTCTTTTAAAATACATAACTTCAACCTCTGTAGAAAAAAAAAACTCCTAATATCTATAAAGATTTAGTGAATCTTTTCTTTGGCTATACGCTTAGAGAAATTTGCCCTTTTCTGAACTTGCTAGTTCATGTCTTTTGCACACTTTGTGTGTGTGTGTGTGTGTGTGTGTGTGTGTGTGTGTGTGAGAGAGAGAGAGAGAGAGAGAGAGAGAGAGAGAGAGAGAGATGGGGTGGGAGTGGCAAAATGTGTAGTGAATTTGTCAAGTCTGGACTTTAACAAAAGTGTACGTTACCTTTGCCACATCATAAGGTGACACCTAATGGCTATACCTGATGGATGGAAGTAAATCATACTCAGTATTTATATTACCTCTTTGAGTTACAACACTAGGGGRAATTGATGTGTGCAGGGTGATCTTCAGATTATTATGCATCCCTTACTGCTGCCTGGTACCTTTGTGTACCTTAGACAYCTCAGTCCAAGCACCACGGATTTTATAGCTTTGTAAGTAGCCATATGAGGATAACTTGGAGAACCCTGGCCTAAACTTCCTAAGCAGGATCCCAGGGCCTTTGGGTGTTGTGAAAGGTAGCTGGACATTTGCGTGCTAGAGAACCGTGCTCCTCCTGAGGCTACAGATCTTTCTGAAGGTGTCTGGCAGGGCCCCAGTGAGGTTGACACAAGTGGATGGCAGCAGGGAGGAGTTTCAGCAGGTGTGCCTGGCTAGTGGGCAGCCCAAAAGTACTCCTAGAGGCATTTGTCTTTAGGGACTTGGGCGAGAACCATCAGGTACTTGTACCAACCAATTCTAAAGTGCTCTGGATAAAGAATTTGATGGATAAGGGAGGCTCCGGAAATCGCAGGGAGCAGAGCACTGGATTGGGCATGGCAGGGTAGGGAGGGTTTAAGGTGGAGGGAAATATTGGAGCAGCATCTGTTTACCAATGGGTTAAGAGGTATTTCACATTTTAACAGCTCTTGCTATATCAGGGCATGTGGCTTCTTTGGGTATAGAGAGTGTGCCCAGAGGTGTTGGGTAAGAATGGGAACTCATTCATACAGCATCTCTTCCTCAGAAACATAGGACTGTTTTCAGACATTTAAGTGGCCAAGGAATCACTACAACAGCAGCAATGCTTCCTCTGTAGATATTAAGATGCTTTTAAAATGCTTCTACTAAACTAGGAACGTCTTCCATTGTTCTGTTGTTCAAATGTATAAATAATTCACCCTTTCTTCTAATGAAAAGTGTCTCCTCTTCTTGGTTCTCTAAGCTATGGCARTCCTGTTGGGAGGTGCATAGGCTTTCTTGTGTTTGAACCCATTCAAAAGACATCAGTTAGTATTTTACAAATTTCTATTTCTGTAGGTCCAAATATGTCTCCTGAAGTAATACGTTTTGGCAGCATCTGTCATGGTATTCTCAGCAAAGATGTAGATAATGAGAAAAAAATAAAACTAGAGTATGATTTATAGTTTCTTTGAAATGACTTCTTGATAATTATCATAGCTCTGCATTCAGCCATGCAGAGACAGCTCATGTTTCCAACTATTGGAGTATGTAAGACAATGTGTCTACAATTTACTGCATGTAAGTGCTTCATGAAACATACATTGTTCTGAATCCAAACTGACTTACTGAAACATGCATAGAAAATTCCATAAGTTGTTAATTACATGAAAATTATTAACTTTTTGTCAAATGTTCATTTGGAAGTAGATTTATGTGAAGTAAAATTATTCAACATGACAAAATTTGACAAGGGTTTAAAGAGGGAAGCTACGTTTCTCTGACTTTTATCAAAGCCAAAATTGCCTATTACATTCTTATGATTAAGGATTCCCATAACAAAATTCAGTGTTTAAGAAATACATGCACTAGTATATAGTAATAAGACACCTAAAATGGTTATTCACAAAGTGCCCACACACTCATTTATATGGGTATAATGTATTTATTATGAAACTTCATATTGAATCTCAAGCTGCTCTTTTATGTACATTTAATGATGCATGAAAGTTTTATGTTTACAATCATGTTATCGTTCATAAAATATATCAAAACAATTTGTAAGAATTATTTCTCGTGCATGATTATGATCATTTGTAACTATACCGTAGTGCTACTTTCACTGAAACTGTGAAAATGCAACTCTCAGAAGAGAACAGTGAATGAGGCTGTGGAGAGAGTTATAAATCATGGATTGAATTTTGGGGACTATTGTTGCAAACAAACTATCCTTGGAAGATGGATCAGATACCTGCCTGGAAAGCTACTGGTTTTTAAAAGTTATGCTTAAATCTTAGGCAAGGCACCAATTTCTTTGCCTGAGTTGCATCATCAGTAAAATGGAAATAGTAATTGCAACTACCTTATATGGTTATAATAAGAATTAAAACAAATAACACAATAAGTGCCTGGCACACAATTACTCTGTATCTCATGATTCTATGGGATCAGTGAGAGATGTGACAATAAGTGCTTTGAGTAGGGAAGTGAAGGTCCTTTTAGAAGAAGTACTTGAGTTTGCTTTATAAAGTTCCAAGAATCTTCCATTTAAATGCTAATCTTTTGTCCCCACAGTTAGTTGTTTCTGCCTATCTTTGATAGTTGATATTTACCTTAAAAAGTAAACTTTACATAATGTAAACACATTGCTTATTTTTCTATAGTATTTTTTGAGTAGAAATTATCACGTAGGCAGTTATGTGTATGTGTGTGTTATTTTTCAAGTTTTTATGTTTAAACCATGCAATACTTTCTTAAAACACATTTAAATTTTTTTTATTTGACTAATATTATATATAGTACAATGTGGTATTTTGATATATGTTTACAATGTGGAATGATTTTAAAGCAGGCTAATGAACAAATCCATCCTCATACTATTCATTTGTCTGTGTGTGTGTGTGTGTGTGTGTGTGTGTGTGGTGAAAACACTTAAAATCTACTCTTTCAGCAATTTTTAAGTACACAATGAAGCATTATTTATTGCAGTCACCAGTCTGTGATCAAAGAGTACAACGTTTCAAGCAGACAAGAGGCACAGGCAGCTATTTTTAACAGGCTTGTTAAGTTCATTCTGTGCTTGTACAAGTTGCTAGGGATTGAGACTAGAGGCTGTGGGTCTCTGCTCACAGGGAAGTCCCAGATTAGAAGGGGAGACAGACCCTCAAACCAACAGTTCTCCTGTAACGAGAAAGGTGTGCTGATGAAGGTGTGGWCATAGTTTTGCAGTGGAAGCCTAGGGACAAGTTCCTATGTGGCCTGATGGGAATTGTGGTAGGGAGTAAAGCSAGGTACTGAAAGGAGAATTTATTTCCATATACATTATTTCTTCTTATTCTGTTAAACCAGAATTACAATTGGTTTTATACTCTCAATGTTAGCATTTGCTAACATTTTGTGTTAATTTATTTATTATAAAACTTTTTGTGTATAATGTATTTATTATAAAATTATTTAAAATTATTATTTAACTTCAGTAAATGGCTGTATTTACTAAACTGAATTCTGCTTGTTTTTAAAGCCAGGGTTTTTGTTGTTGTTGTTTGTTTGTTTTTTTTTTTGAGGGGGTGGCGCTGAATTTAAACATGATTTTACACAAGAGACTATATGGTTAAGCATACTTGAATGCAGCAAATTTGGACTGAATATATTTTAGTAAACTGAATAAATTTTTAAAACCAGCAGATTATTCTTTTTCTCTGGAAAATGTCTAAGGCATTTCATATCCTCCAAAGCATAGCCTTTATTGTTTCAAATATTATTGTCTCTTTTTTCTTTTTTATATAAAGGACATATGTTTTTAATTTAGCAATTATAATCAGTTAGTATAATTTATTTTCATTTAGGTATTCTGTTCAGTAATCTTGGTCCACACACGAAGTATGTATTGTCTATCTGAGAATGAATTTGAACAATTAGGTCTCTATTTTTATATGGTGGAATCTCTCAAGAGACAGGTGGTCCTTATTAGTGATTACAAAACATATTGTAACCTAGAGGTTCAGAATAAACAGAGGAGCCTGAACCATGAGAAGCACAGCCATATGCTGCTGAGTCCACAGGGAGAAGGTGTATTGAGGTGACTGGATGGGCCCAAAATAACTCAGGGCTCACTTTTTTATACTTTTCAACCAGAGCCAATTTTTCTGGATTATTGTAGGAATGAGACACGTATAAAATGTTATTAGTTATATTTTTTTCTTTTTCTTTAGCAAGTAATTTTGAGATAAATAAAAATAGTGAAGAATAGTAAATCCACACTTGTGTCTCAACCACAATTAGTTGGCACAATGTTAATTGGAAGAGTGACAAGTAGGAAAGGGGCTTCCTTGAACTTGATTTAACTTTTTCTTGGGTCATTCCATATAAAAGTAACTTTTGATGAAGTCTAGAATGCTAAGCCTCAGTTTTCCCATCTGCTAAGTAGAATAATAGGCTTATTATAAATATTAAATGTATCATAATATAATGGCCAAGAACAAGATCTCAAAGTCCAAAAGATGAATTCTGACCTTCCTTTCATGTGTTGTGTGGCCCCAATCATGTTGTTTTTACCTTTACTGGTCTCAAATTCTTCATCTGCATAGAAGCTGTCATATCTGCTTCGTAGTGTTCTTGATATAAATGAATTGCATCTATAAAGGTCCTGTAACATAGCCTGACAYATATTAAGTGTAAAACCAGTATGACAATCATAATTTGGTTCGAATCAAGATATTATTCACGATATGCTCAGTTAGTGCTTACCAAGGGTCTACTTAGGACTTGGCAAGAATGTGGTTAAAATTTAATAATCTTAATGTTTATTCAAAATGTCTGCTAGCTCATAAACAGAAATACAAATAATGACACCAAAATGACTTTTTGAAAAGAATAAATTAGCATCTAATAAACAAAAATACAGCTTTGAAGATTAATCATCTTCTTACAGGAAAGG